CCGCGGAGGTTGCAGGCGCCCGGCCGCCCTAGCAAAGCCGTGTGCCCGAAGCCGCCGGGGGCCTCCGGGCGGCCGGGTGTGCTTATTGCGCGCATCCACAAGACGTGCCCTGGACTCTAGTGTACCTCCGCGTCCAGGCCCCAGGTTTGCAGCCGTCTATCGGCTGTGGGAGCTTGGTAACCTGGGTGCCTGGGGTGCGGGAGGAGGCGCCACAGGTGTTTCTCCGGCAACTTCACCGGAGGAGCCAGAACCAAGTGTGGCAGCGCCTGGCCTCTGCGCGGTGCCTGTTAGGGAGGCGTGGAATGAACGGGGTGGGGGTGGGGGGGCCGGCTGTCCAGGGTGAAGGGTGGTTGCTCGCGTATTAGAGAAGGTGCACAGCTCGTCTGCCAAGGCAAGTGCAAACATTTCTTGGCATCAAAGAAAAGAAGCCCTTCCTTCCTAAGAATTTTAATTTGGGGAGAAAAGTTCTGGTCTTAAGATATCCGTGTAGTTTGTGTTTCCCTGCACGTAAATCCTGAAGCCATTACTTGCTTCTCCTTCCAACTCTGTCTAGGAGGGATGAGGGCAGGGCAGAAGTGTTTTTGTACGAGATGCTGAAAAGGTATGGAGGGCAGTTTTATTGCAGTTACTGCCCCTTCCTCCCTTGGTTTAGTACCTGGTACCTGGCTGGAGGGGGGGGGGCGTCATTTGAGTGATTGGGAGTGGGGCAAGGTAGTGATCAGGGGCAACAAAACAAACAGGAACCTCTGTCTTCTCTTTACAGCCAACATGCCCATCACTCGGATGCGCATGAGACCCTGGCTAGAGATGCAGATTAATTCCAACCAAATTCCAGGGCTGATCTGGATTAATAAAGTGAGTGCAATTCTTTGGGTTTTTCTCCCATTATTTTAACCCATATCCTCTGGGGGACCAAAGTTTCAGATGCAGCTCAAAAAGGGAAGTGATAGGGGCAGGCAGGTGTGCTTCCCACTGGGTCCTCCATGCAGGGAGTGGGCGGGCACGTGCCCTACTTGTCTTCCTTGATTTGGAGGTATAGAATGGCTCTCTCCTAAGGGCACAGATTGAGCAGCAAGACCCCCAGTATCCAGAGAGCTGGAGTTCTGGTTTCTCCTGAGGGGGACCTCAGTCAGCTAGAGAAGTCAATGCTATTGGCTGGAAGGAAGGTGGCTGGCTCATCAAGGGACCCAATCATTAACCTGGCACTAGCTTGCTCTGCCCAGAAAGCCTCTTGCTGGTGCACAAAGGACAACACAGACCACACAGACTTAGTAGTAATTATAATAAGTGTAACAATTAATTATACAAATGAATATATTATAATTAATTGTTCAAATAATTTCTAATCATTAACTAAAGTAACTATAAAAGTAATTTGCTCACTGTAACATCCACTGTAAGCAAATGTTATTTATGTTGTATCATTTAATACTCAAAACAGTCTTGTGAGGTATGCTCTCTTAATATCTCCACTTGCAAATAAGGAAACTGAGACATAAAAGATACATACTGAGACCCAAAGAGCGGTAACACCAAGATGGAAACTTGAGTACTCTGACTGAGAAATTCATACTGTTAAACCACCAGTGACGAGAACAGTGAGACCTTACTCTTTCTATTTGTCACTGTTTTCTCATTTCACAAAACACACTGACATGCAGAGAGGTACAGTGACAGTGCTAAGGGTCACATAGATAATCAGCACCCAGATCTGGCCCAAGTCCCTCAAGGGTATGGCCGGGACCCTTTATGTAGGAGCCCAAGATCCCAGGTATCCTGAAAAGGTCAGGTTAATCAACAGAGTTTTCACTTGTCTTCATGCTGACATGCCTGATGGGACACTCCCAGGCTGGTCTTAAAGGCCTCAACACATGTGTAAGAACTGGAGGAAGGTCTTGGCTACACTGATGGGCTCCATCCGTCAGAACCCCAAACCCCTTCTGTGAGATCCAGAAAGATAGAACAGCCTATGTAAGGCAATCTCAGGATGTGTCAACGCAAACCAGATGTTAGGGTGAAAAGGGGAAGTCGGCCTTTTCCCAGATCTGGGGGTGCTGGGCAGGCTCACGCTCAGGGTCTGTGGTCTTTGAACTGAGCTCCCCTGTATGTGTGTGTGCTGTTCAGGAGGAGATGATCTTCCAGATCCCATGGAAGCATGCAGCCAAGCATGGCTGGGATATCAACAAGGATGCTTGTCTGTTCCGGAGCTGGGCCATTCACACAGGTGTGTATCCCAGAATTTTGACCAGGAGGGGACAGGGAAAAAACAAGGAGATTCACTTCCATTACATAGAGATTCTTCATTAGAGTCCCTGAGTTCCTTGAGAAGAAGTGTTGAATTTGGGGGTGGGCAAGGAGACAGACCTACATTTCTGGGGACAGGGTCCATCATTTCAACAGGTTCTTAAAGGAATTTGTAAAGCCCAAATCTCAGAAAGTGTCATTTTTAGGGAGTTTGTGGCTCAGTTAGAATTACCCCAGACAGGTGGAGTGGGGAATGGGATCAAAGGGGGGGAAGAAGGGAGAGGGAAGTGCACAGGACTATGGTGATGGCACATGGGTGACTCGGTGATGGGAAACCCACGGGGATTACAATTGAGGTGAAAAAAAAATACATACAAAATGATGTAAAAATAAACTATTATATTAAAAAAAGAAGAAGAAGAAGAAGAAGAATTACCCCAGACAAAAACAGCTCTGAGCCAGGACAGTGAGAGACCGATGCCATCCTTTTTCTTGACACTGTCCAAGATCTTTGGCCCAAGGCCAGTCTGGTTGGCAGCCTCCTTTAATTCTTGAGGGATGGAGCTCTTGGCCTTTTCCTGACCATTTAGCTGACCTATGAGTACCTGTTCTATGAGGCCCAATCTGTGCCCACGCAAGTTTAGAAATATGAGATAAGCCCCGTTCTTTACCCTCTGTCTGTGTACAACTAAGCAAGATGATGGGGTTTGGCCGGGTTCAAAGATGGCATCTTTATGGTTATTGGACTCACCAGTGCTTCAAATCATGCCCTTCAGCAAGGCCTGCTGGATGTGTTTAAGCCAAGCCTAGCATTTGAGAAGACCAGGGACTCAGGGCCGGCAGTGTCGTCCTGTTGCTTTGACCAGAAGGTGTCTGGCAGCATGAGAACTCAGGGAAGCCCTTGCCTTCCCCCCCAGGCCAGGGGGCAGCTGAGGACCCCTGCTGTGGCCCTGACTATGCTCTCCATTGCCCGCCCACTAGGCCGATACAAAGCAGGGGAGAAGGAGCCAGATCCCAAGACATGGAAAGCCAACTTTCGCTGTGCCATGAACTCCCTGCCAGACATCGAGGAGGTGAAGGACCAGAGCAGGAATAAGGGTAGCTCAGCTGTGCGAGTGTACCGGATGCTCCCACCCCTCACCAAGAACCAGCGGAAAGGTATCTAGAGGCCCTGGATCCTTGGGAAGGCTCAGGGAGGGAGGCAGAGGGGAAGGGCAGCGGGGGTGACATGCCCGTGCCAAGGCTGATAACCTGCTCTCCCACAGAGAGAAAGTCCAAGTCCAGCCGAGACACTAAGAGCAAGGCCAAGAGGAAGGTGAGTGTGTCCTAAGCAGTGGGCCTTTGGTCACCTGTGAGTCAGGGTGGGCAAGTCAGGGTGGGCAAGCCTGGCCTAAGCCGCTCTCTCCCGCACAGTCATGTGGCGACTCCAGCCCGGATACCTTCTCTGATGGGCTCAGCAGCTCCACCCTGCCCGACGACCACAGTAGCTGCACAGCTCAGGGCTACCTAGGCCAGGAGTTGGACGTGGATCGGGCACTCACTCCAGGTGAGGGGGCCTGAGCAGGACATACAGCTCAAGCCTTTGGGTCTAAGAGGTGTCATGCTAGAGGGTGGGTCCTGTGGGAACAGGGTGGCAGAGGGTGGTGGGGTGCTGGATGGTTTGCAAACTAAGGAAGCAACACCTGACCTGTGGTTTCTGCTGTCCTGAAGCGCTGTCACCGTGTGTCAGTAGCACTCTCCCTGAATGGCACATGCCCATGGATATTGTGCCGGACAGCACCAGTGACCTGTACAATTTCCAAGTATCACCCATGCCCTCCAACTCTGAAGGTTTGTGCTCCTGCCTAACAGTCTGGGTCCTGGGAGGGGCTTCCTGAGGGAGAAAGGATGGCAGTAACCTGGCAGTAAGCTGACTGAGCTGGGCATTGTCCACTCCCAGCACCATGGGGATGGCAAGTCATTGGGATGCCAGGAAGTAGCTGAGAGTGAGCAGTGGGTCTGTGGTGAGCTGGAGAGAAAGAAGGGGCCAGGGGCTGGATTTTGGTTTAAGGTTGCTGGTTCTTCTGGCTCCTCCGCAGCATAGTCTCTGAGGATGGGTCAGTGGGGTGCAAGGAGGGGAGAGGCATGACTTCAGGGCTTGGGAGGCTGAGTCACCATGCAATATCCTGTTCTGAGATCTCCATGGCAGGCAGATGTCCACTGGGAGGGTGGGGGGTGTGGTGTGTGAGTGTAAGAGTGTGTGTGCGTACGTGTGAAGTGAGAGAGGGATGGGTGGGGCCTGGGGCCTGGGACTACAAAGCTGTTAACCAGGGTCTCTGCTCTTCCCCATGCACAGGTGCAACAGACGAGGATGAGGAAGGAAAGTTACCTGAGGATATCATGAAGGTAAAGCCCCTTCCTCTCTGTGCATTCTTTTAAAGTGGCTGCTGCTGCTGCTCAGTGAGCACTTCCAAACGGGACACTACAGGACAGCTGCTGCTGTCACCTGGCTGCCCGTAGAGTCCCACGAGCGCCAAGTGCTGTATCTGTGTGGCTGGGGACCACTGCCCTCCTTGGCTGGCGGGAGGATACTGGCAGTGAGGGCAGGAGGGAGGCCTGGTCTCTGACAGGCTGCTCTGAAGCAGGCCTCAGACAGCTCTGAGTCAGCCACCATCAGCGCCAGGTCCCTGGCCCAAGTCCTCCGGCCCAGCATGCCCAGCCCTGCTGGTGTGGGAAGCTCACATCAGGTTTCAATAATCAGCCTTTGGGATCTGTAATATTAGGGATTTTTTTTTTTAAAGAACAAATTATCCTCCAGGCTTTTTTATTGCTTCAGTTTTAAAAGTGAATACAAAAAAGTTTTCATAGTGATTGTAACCCAGGCTCTGCTCCATCAGAAAATTGAGATAAGGACACAGTTCCTTGCTGCTAGCTTTTCTGGTCATCTTTAGACTTAACTGCACTGCTGCTTTAAACTATACTCCTGGTTGGCATCTTAGCCGTTTGAGGGGGGAAGAAGTTTTGGAGAGACTGTGCCAATGGGTAGTTAAAGCAGTGCAGGTGCAGGAAGACCCTCATGGGGAAAGCAAGTTGAGGTCCAGCGCCTGCGAGCTGTTCAACCTCCCATCCCCAGGCCCTGACCTAACTGCGCCCTACGCCTGTCACCATCTGAGAATGTGATCCAGGCTGGGAAGCTGTCGCTCACTGAGGGGCAGGGTCACAGGGTCCATCTGCCTTGGAGGTGAGCTCACTGGTTTGATCTTCTGTCCACAGCTCTTGGAGCAGTCCGAGTGGCAGCCCACAAACGTGGATGGCAAGGGGTACCTACTCAATGAACCTGGTATCCAGCCCACATCTGTCTATGACTTCACTTGCAAGGAGGAACCTGAAGTTGACAGCCCTGGGGGTGAGGATCCCCTGGTACCAAAAGGTTTTTCCCCAGCCATGTCAGGACTGGAGGGCTTGGGGACAGGACCAGGGAGCAGTGAAAGGAAAGCTGCTTAAGCTCAGCTGGGGTGTGGAAATCTTGTGGAGCAGCTGTTGCTCCCAGGCCTGCAGGTTGGCATAGAGATGAAGCGGGCTTGCTGTGGGGTGGACTGCAGAGGCTGTTGTTTCTGGGGCTTTTGGATACAGGACTGGGGGTGGGGGGTGGAGAGAGAATATACTCGCCTTCACTCCCCTCACATCTCCTTTTTTAACATCTTTTAGGGGACATTGGGATGAGCCTACAACGTGTCTTCACAGATCTGAAGAACATGGATTCCAGCTGGATAGAGAACATGTTGCCCCCGGTCAGGCTGCCCTCCATCCAGGCCATTCCTTGTGCGCCGTAGCTGGGCCCCCCTATACTCTCTTAGGCAAGCAGGATCTGGCATCAGGATGGCTGTGGTGCAGAAAAATGGGACTTCCGTGGACCCCTGGATGTGGCAAAGCCTGTCTCCAGTGCTAAGTGGGGGTAGGGTCTTCCTCTGGGTCCATGGCCTTTCAGCATCTGGCAGGTCAGCGACTGGGCTCATTTTGTGGGGTAAAGCTGGCCCTGCCTCCCTGGACAATGGGGTTCTAAGGCTGGTGTGTAAGGTGGAGGTCTCAGGAGTCAGCTTCTAGCTTGTCCCTCTGAGTCCAGCTGCCTGGAGCAGATCTCGCTATTGCTGAGCTGGCCTGAGGGAAAAGACCAGTGACCTCAGAAAAGCTTAGCACCAACCCCAGGGCTGGTCCTGCACTAAGAGACAATTGCACTAAGTGAGTCCTTTTCCAAAGAACTGCCTCCCTTCCCAGCTGAGCCCTGGGGACTCTTCCAAAGCCAGTGAAATGTGAAGGAAAGATGAGGTCCTGTGGGACAGTGCTCCTCAGCCTCCGAGGGCTCTGCCCTGTTCCCTGCTCAGGCTGAGGGTTTTGGGAAAAAACATGGCACTTTTTCTTGTGGACCTTGCCACATTATTGATCAGAGGTGTACACTAACGTTCCCCCCCCCC